CGGGAAGAGAGGCCGCCGTGAGATCTGGAGCGTCGCAGGCCCCCTGTGCGCTCGGCGGCAAGGTCTCTGCGGGCGCGGCCCTGCAAGTCAGCGCCATGACGCCCCGCGGGCGAGGGACCCGGCCTGCAGTCCCAGCATGCCCACTCCCCTAGCCCCGGGTGGGCAGGGATTTGCCATGGGCCGGGACCAGAGGGGAAAGCCGTATCTCCTGGCCTGCCAAACGGCTCCCAGGGTGCCCAGAGGAGGGGGTGGGTACAGGCCAGCAGGGATGTTCCTACCCATCCCTCGGGGGTGCTTGGCAAAAGCTGACTGCAAGGAGGGTGGAGCAGGCTCCCACCACTGCCGCTCACTCCTGAGCCAGGGCGGAAGAGAGAGATTTCTGGCGGCCCCCACTTCTGTTTTCCTCTCGCGCACGCCCCCATCGCCACAGCAGGGGTGGCCGGGCTGACGGTGCACGGCCTTGAGAGCAGGGATCTCGCTGTGGAACAGCGCGGCAAAGTCCGTGGCACCCCGCGTGGCCCCTCCAGGCATTGGGCCCCGTGGACTCACCCTCCCTAGGCCCCGAATCTCTGCAGAGCTCCTCACCGCCCCCGGCTCTTACACAACCGCCCTGCGTGGCAGCCCCATGAGACTTACGGGGAAGGGTGGCTGAGCTAGGGGACGTGGCCAGGGTTATCACTGAGTGGTTAAGGGGCGTGAAGTCAAGGAGCTGGCCAGAGGGGAAATGGAAGGGCTCCTTGGACTGGATCTAGGCACAAAAAGCAAGGCTAGAGGGCGGCCCCGGGCTGCTGTGGTCCTAGAGGAGAGGGGGATCTGGAACAGGGTGGGACAGGCACAACTCCGTGGCTGCGTCTAAACTGGCACGTTTTGCAGAAAATCTTGCCAGCTGTCTACACTGGCCGCTTGATTTTGCACGAAAGCACTGACGTTCTACTGTCCGAAATCAGTGCTTCTTGCGCAAATGCTTTGACGCTCCCATTCAGGTAAAAGCCCTTTTCCGGAAATGTTTTTGCACAAGAGGGCCAGTGTAGACAGCTAAAAACTGTTTTGCACAAAAAAGCCCCGCTGGTGAAAATGGCGATCGGGGCTTTCTTGTGCAAAACCGCGTCTGGATTGGCACGGACGCTTTTCCGCAAAAAATGCTTTTGCGTAAAAGCATCCGTGCTAATCTAGACGCTCTTTTCCGCAAATGCTTTTAACGGAAAAACTTTTCCGTTAAAAGCATTTGCGGAAAATCATGCGAGTCTAGATGTAGCCCATGTGTCTTGCAGGTGGTTGTACTTGCTAGCAGGACTGAGCGTGCTTAGGAAGCCAGCCAGGCCAGACCGCATGCCCCCTGTGTCCGCAGTCTCGGTTCCAACGCATCTGAGCAACACGGTGGCAACCCAGCAACCAGCAGCACCGAACGTCCGTTCCACTGGTGGCCTGCGCACTCCGAGGGCTCTTGTCTTATGGGGCGAGCCGTGTGCATGGGGCCATCCCTCCCCTGGGGTGACCGCACGGCCGCCATGAATTTGAGTGGATCCCAGAGATGGCTCAGACATGGATGAACCTCAGACTGGTGGCCATTGCTCCAAAAACACGATCAAATCGATTTCCTTCCCTGTCATAGTAGACAGATGGTATGGATTGAAGTAGCCGCTTCCCCGTGCCTGGAGCTAGGAGGGCCATGAATGTCCTACGATCTTCCTAGCTCAGCCACCGTGGGTGTGCTTCCGATGCAGTTCTCTGGCATGCAGGGCGAGCGGCTCACAGGAGAAGCCCTTCGCCTTGGACTTCTCCTCCCTGTCTCTGGAGTTGCTGGCCTTTGGAGCGCACGCCACCAGCCTGGGCGCGGGGGAGCCGTTTGGAAAATGAGCAAGATGGGATTTGGATTGTGTGAGGGTGTGTGGGTGAGTGTGGATGGAGAGCTTGTTACTCTGATGGTTTTGTGAGTGTTTGCGTTATACGTTTAGCTGAGGGGAGACGCCCACTAGGCCAGACTGTCCTACTGAAATCGCTGGGACTTTGACTGAATTGGGTGCACACTTAGCACCCATCTCCATCTTCAGGCTTCTGCGAAAAGTGCCCTTTCCCGGACCTGGAAACATTGTGTAGGAGCGGGGCCATTTTAGCAGCGTTTTGTTCAGGGCTACACATTAAAATGAAGGGTCCACACCAAGACTGTCCAAACCTCCTGCTTCAACGTGTTTTGGGCTGGAAGCCTCGCGTTTCGATGCTGAAGCAGGCAGGCCTGTGTCGTCTGTTACCGTTTATTTTCAAATGTTGACACGGAAAAGTTTGGATTGACTTTCATCCTGTCTCCGGAGTGGTTGGCTCTTTGTTCCAGTGTGGAACGGAAAAAAAATCGAAACGCCAATTTTCCCAGGGCACAGAAATTTCAGTTCCTTGCCAGCTCTTCTGAAACACCTTTGAAAATCTGGTCCCTGAGTCCATTAGATGTAGGAGGGGGGGAGTATTTAAAACCAAATACATGTTTTATTTTAAAAAATATCCTTAAAAAAAGAAGCAGCAAACCATTAGCCTCTTGATGGTGTCTGCTTTAATTCCTTTCCTGCGTCTGAATGAGCAGAGAGCAATCTGTATATGCTTTAGGCAATACCTTAGAAGGTAATCATTCAATTATTTTATGTCACCTTTGCATCATTGATTAATGATTCTAGCAACCAGCGCACTCGATTCTGTTAGGAAAAAATGGGAAAGTTTATTTAATCTATGTTAATTTCAAGCTGGCTGGTACCTCATTAGATGGGGGCCCTGTAGGTACAGGCATGTCCCGGTGGGATATGCTTTAGGCAATACCTTAGAAGGTAATCATTCAATTATTTTATGTCACCTTTGCATCATTGATTAATGATTCTAGCAACCAGCGCACTCGATTCTGTTAGGAAAAAATGGGAAAGTTTATTTAATCTATGTTAATTTCAAGCTGGCTGGTACCTCATTAGATGGGGGCCCTGTAGGTACAGGCATGTCCCGGTGGGTACACCTCTTCATTGTCAGATCTGTGTAACGCAGCAGACTGGGGAATAAATACCTCCGCCCCGAGCGTGGTTTATTTTTAACAACATGGAAATGTGTGTGGCCGGAGGGGGGCGGTGCGTTTAAATGAAGTGGATTTGAGCGTGGATGACAGGTATTGGATGGACTAGAGGAGTCGGGCATGTCTGTGGGGCTGATCTGTCCCCGGCCTTCACAGGGTGCTGATGGTGGCCGATCTCCAGGGGAGACTAGTTTTTAACCCCGTGTTGCCCACAGGGGCATGTCAGGGCCATGGGAGGCAGCATTCTTCAGGGATTCACACTGGGTCTTGGTCAGGTTCCAGGCCAGGGCTGCTGAAATCAGCTGGCCCCAAATCTGGGGAAGTGCCGAACCTCCGTCTCTTGCACATGGTGGGCCAGATGGCACCGTGACTCATCTGAGGATGGCTATCTGGAGGGCTGAGCAGAGGTGAAATTAGGCGGGTGCACCCCAGTGCGCAGCTCCGGCAAGAGCCAGCTGAGCTGCGGCAAAAGCCAATGGGAAGCTATTGAAAGAGCTGGCAGGGACCCGGGTTGCGATAGGACAGTGCCTGTAAGAAAAGTAAATTCTTTTCACCCCTGGGCCCAAGTGAAATGAACTGGCCTCGACAGCTCCCAGCCCTGGTCTCCATAGGGCGTTATTTCGAAATAATCCCCCTTCGGTGGAATCAATAAGCGGAGCATCCACACGCCCATCCTTTCGAAATAACGGGCTGCTGATTTCGCAATCCGCATGCCTGCTTTCCTCGGGAAGGAATGCTGGGTTCAAACTAGCTCTTTTGAAATTGTGGCCATGTGGACGCGCCGGTGCCGCTCTTTCAAAATGACGACTCCCCGGCGTCATGCGAAGTAATGACTCTCCCGTGCTTCCTAAGGGCGAGGTCGTGCGCCCGCCGTAAGGGAGCCTGCCTTGGGCTCATTTCGAGGCTTCCCCATGGCGAGGACAGGCTAGTTCGGTTTTGTGATTTCGGGAGTGAGAAAATCGAGGTGGGGGGGTTGGAAATAGTTACCTAGTGTAGACGTGTCCCCAGTGTGGCCCAGGCCACAGCCATCAGCACCTCCATGCCCAGGAGAGAGACTCGGCTCCTGTCTGCTTCCCAAAGTTGGTCTACTAGGTTAGGAGGGAGGGATGGAGGGGCGGAGGGGGAAGGATTTGTAGTGATGCAGCTTGTGCCTCACCTAGCCAGCAGATAAACAGCCTTCCCCCAGCCCCACCTCCAGGTAGAAGGGCTGGTGGCCTCGTGGCTTACGAGTGGTTCCGAGACTCGTGGCACATGCCCATGTGACTGCAGGCCAGTCATTTCATTGCTGTATGCCTTAGCTCCCCCTCTGTACCATAGAGGGTGCACTTCCTTACCTCACAGGGGTTTTGTGAGCAGTGTTTCCTGGAAACTGAGCCCTTGGGTGGCCGCCCAGGAGAGATTCAGGTGCCGCCCAGCTGATTAGCACAGTGCCCACAGTGTATGTTTATACGGGTGGTGCACATTCACACATGCTTTGGTGCATGCAACAAAATTTATTCCGCACATGGGCAGAAAAATGAGAGGGAACATTGGTCGTGACGCTAGTTCATTAATGTTTGCAAGGTGCTCAGATGCTCCAGCCAGATCGGCACCTAGACCGTGTCCGCTACAGGCAAAGGGTATTGCCAAGTCCTGGCTACATCTCTCCCTCCCTTCTTTCCGGGCTAGGTTACGTGCAGGTCCTCGGTGGTGCTGGTGCAAGGGCACCTAGCAGCAGAAGGGGTGCTCCTCTTTGGCAAAGAGCACTTCTACCTCGGCGAGCACTTCGTCCTGTCCCAGGTGGACGAGGTTTATTGCACCAAGCACTGCTTGTCCAGGTGAGTCCTTCTGCCCCGCCTGCAGGCCGAGCCCTGCGGGAGACGCCCCGCTTTGGGGAACCCTGTGGCTTCGGGGAGCATTACAGCACCGAGTATGGGCCCCTGGGCTTCCCCCCACCCCGCTCCAAAGCGCCCAGCTGCTACGGATTAGCAAGGGGCCAGAGGGGCTGAGGTTCCGGTCCAGTAGAGAAGCATCCAGGTCAGGAGGCAGCTCCAGGCACGGCCTGAGAGAGCCGCAGAGATGGGCCAGGCTGTTGTGGGGCCTGAAAGCTCAGCTGCCAGTGAAGGCTCACCCTCCACGGTGAGACCTGCCTGTTGCAGAGAGAGCACCGGGCAGGAGGGGAGGAGTGTCAGGAGGGGTGTGCAGCCGGTCTGCGATCAGGGTTCGCTTGGGTGTCTACTAAGGAGAGATTCAAATGCTGCCCAGCTGATTAGCAAAACTCCCACAGCCAGCAGTATGTGTTCCCATGGGTGGTGCACATCGGCACAGGCCTTGGTGCACATAAAATTTAGTCCGCACATAGATGGGAAACAATTAGGGACCATTGGTTGCAATACAGCCTGAGCCACACCAGCCAGGACCCTTCATTTTGGATCTGATTTTAGGACCCGTAGGGTGTGAAGACCCTTTCAAGCCAATGGGAAAATCTGAGAAGTAAGGTGCTACCCAATGGGGTGAAAGATATGACAGCGCTGCCCTTCATACAAACCCCCATCTCCTCCCACCTCTGCCTCTGCAGAGCCTTTCTCACTGGCCTCCTGGTATTGCTGCCGCTTGGACTCCATTGTGTACAGGAGGCTGTTGCTCTCCATCCGCCTGCGTATCCTAAAATGCACAAACGCACCTTCATGCTCCATTAGCTGCCTCTTTGTTTCAGGATCCAGTAGGAAATTGCCTTGGGGGTGTTTGGAACCTTCTCATTACAGCCGTCCTGAGACACAAGGCTCCGTAGAAACGTGCCTGTAGAAGCTGCTTGCGCGTTGACGGGGGGTGTTCCTAGAGTCTGCGGTGGCAGCAGAGTATAGGGTGAAGCCTGAGCCGTCCCGCACAGCCAGCGTGTTGGTTGCCAAGGTCTTGTCCGCCTCACGTGCATTTCTCTTTTTGCCTCTTTCAGCATCACCGATCCGTTTATTTTCAACATGTGCCACAAAGACCCGGGCATGGGAGATCAGGCGTGTGCCCGGTATGCCTACCGTGACATTAAGGAAATACACCCGATGCGCTTCCTCCTACAGGTAGGAGCCCATCCGCCATGTTTCGGCAAGCGCTGCCAGAACACTGGTACAACGTGACCAGGGACCAGAGATGACCTGGGGGATAGTGGGGGACAGAGTCAGGGCAGCCCACTTCAGCAGTGCTAGTGAGCGTGCTCAATACAAGCCAAGCAGCAAATCGGGGCGGGGGGGGGGTGACCCCTGTGTTCCCTCCATCATTATCTCTGCCAGGAACTACTTGAATTGTAACCTCTCAGGAACGGTCTTTCTCCATCCTCACAGCTCTGCTCTTGTCCCCACTTCTGCTTCGCTAACACTGGGTCCTGGAAACTTCTGTCCCTCCTAGCCCTATCACTGAGCTGTCTGATTCATAGAAGCACAGAACACTAGAACAGGAAGGGACCTCGAGAGGTCATCGAGTCCGGTCCCCTGCCCCCGTAGCAGGACCAAGCACCATCTAGATCCTCCCTGACAGATGTTCGGCAAGAACTAAACCAATATTGCCAGGGAAGAAGACGTGGAAAAGTGTCCCTTATAATTCGGGCCAAGATTTTCCAAACCAGATGCTTCAAATCCAGTCCTAGTTTAAGTTTCTGAACAAGTGGGCATCTTTTCAAGAGTGCTCTGCTCCCGCAGACCCCCAAAGAAGGAGAAGACAGTGCTACTGGCCCAACTCTTGTGGAACAACTTTTCAGCTCGGGAACCCAAACCACCAGTAGAGCTCAGAGAATAATGGATTTTTCTGATTGGGGAACAACCCACAAATATGAAAAAAAGGAGGCTTGGTTCGAATGGAAAGTGACTCTTTTCAGGGGTTTTTTATTATTTTGTGTGTGTCACAATGGAAAAAAAATGAAGGAAAAAAGAGATGGGAACGAATCGTTTTGTTGGACATGCAATGAATGTTGTGTCCATTTTTCATTTAGTTTCAGGTTGCTTTTCAAGGTGTTTTTCCTCTGATGTTTTAACTAGCTACATTTCTCAACAGAACCGCCTTCTGTTTCGGTTGTCAGACTATTTTGTTTTGAAATTAACATTTCTCAACAGAACCGCCTTCTGTTTCGGTTGTCAGACTATTTTGTTTTGAAGTTATTTTTTTTCCCAGACAAAACTGCTAGCCAGATTCAACCTGATTGTAGGAATACTTTTGGGGACCCCTGCCCTCCAAATGCATTGATATATTTAGTGTTCGCGCACATGAAAAAATCTCCCTAGCTCCAGCAGGAGACTCTAATATTGGAACTGGCGTTAGATAAAATAAGGAAGGGTGTGTCTACACTGCACCTGGAGCGCAAAATAAACCACACAATTTGAGCTATGCAAATTGCATAGTTTATTTCGAGTTAATTTCAAAATAGCTCATTTTGAAATTTGACGCTGTCTACACAGCACCAAATTTCAAAATCGAGTGCTATTCCGAAACACCCCTTACTCCTTGTGGAATGAGGTTTGCAGGGATGTTGGAATAGCACGCCCGTTATATTTTGGGATAATGGGCTTGCTCAAAAGACGAGGAATAGCTATTTCAGGATACTTCCGGTGTCCCAGAATAGCTCCGCAGTGTAGATGTAGCCTAAGCGATCTATTTGAACTGGTGATAGCTCAAAGGGGTTTGCTTCTTGAACTCTTTCCGGCCCATTGGGTCTTGCCTATTGGGCCGGGAATACTGTGAAAGTTGGCTCTCCTCATTTCTCGCGCACGGCGCTCGTTACAAAATCAGGTCCTTCGCGTTACTAACCCCGCCACACTGGGCCGACGGTACGTTTCTCTCTGCAATGCTCAGCCCTTGCTCCATGGGTCTTCATGCACATGGTTTATCCTTACAGGAGATCGCCTTGGAAATATTCTTCAAAAACGGCTACTCCAAATTTCTCGTCTTCCACAACAGCGACAGGAACAAAGCCTTGAAGAGGTAACCGTTGCTCCAGCCTGGCTGTGCCGCCATGCCATCTGTAACAGGGTCGTGACTCACTGCTGCAGCGCCTCCTGCTGGTCTCCTTGGGAACTAGCTCTTCAGCCCCAGAGCGCCCCCTGTTGACCGGGGTCTTACCCTCCATTATCTGTCTTCTGAGTTACTGCAGGCCCTCCCCCTGCAGCTTCTGCTCCCCCTGCAGCTGTACCCCAGCTCTGCCTGCCTTTCCCCAGCCCTGCTCTGTCTCAGGAAACCTCTGTGGCTTCCCCAGCAGCCAGACCCCTCCTGCTTCCCAGCTCCTCTTCCTCTCCAGGAGCCCCTATTGATACAGCCCTAGCTGGGCCCTCACGTGGCTGCCTGCCCCTCAGCCTCTCCTGGCTGGTTTTAACTCTTGTAGGGCCAGTGCGGGGCGGACGCCCTCCCATCCGTGTCTTCCAGACAGCAACCCCACAGGTTCACTCTACGATTGCAGCTCCTGGGCCTTTGCCTGGTTCCACCGACATGAGCAAAACAGAATTCCTCCCGGCCAATGTCAATTTCCCCCTTGCTGAGCTGTAATGGGTTTTGGAGCATGCTTATTATGTTTTCCTCTTACTTCCAATACTGGAAATGGCGTTAGGTACGTAACGAGCTTGCTTCTCCGGCTTTTCCCTTGAATCGTTGGCATGCGGAGAGCTGACGTGACTTTTGAGACAGTGGCGCTTTTGTTTAGCCAAAGAGGCTTTGCTTCCACCGCTCGTCCGGGTGGACGCTAGAGTAGCACGTGGATGCTTTGCTCATTGCTCTCTGGCAGCTGCTTCCATGTAACCACGGTGGCCTGGCAGAACTGCTGCTCTGGTGCTAACGCTGGGTGTCATTTGGCTGTCCTTGCCGAGGCAAAACGCTCATGATGCAGAAATTCCCGGGTGACATTCTGCAGCCTCGATTGGTGATTACGATCGTCTAATCTAGCTGAAGATAATGATTCCTCTTGACCTTAAAATCTACGCCTAGGCCCCAGTGGAACCTGTCCGACCCAGTCTCCTTGTCTCAATTCACCGTGTTGTTTCAGTTAGATAGGGAAACATGCCCTTCTCCCTCTCCATTATGGTGGGGGGCGGGTGGCCTGGATCCTGTGGGGAGTGGGGCCTGGGCAGAAGGGGCGGGGTTGGGGGGTTGTTTCCTCCAGCCCTGCCTTCTCCCACCGCCCATGGGGAAACCTACCCTGAAATGCGGCATAGTTCAGCCGTTGGCAATTAACCAGCAGCCAGGTTCTATCCCAGAAGCAGCTGCATTTTACTGACGGCTGAAGTGCTTCTCGTCTTTGACTGAGCATCAGTTCAAGGCTCCGATTCAGGACACACGTAACCTGCAGCCCATCCCTATCCAGGATAACATGTAAGCACCTACTTGGCCGCACACATAACACATGTCCCATTGACACAAGGCGCTTCTCTGAACGTAGGGGCCTGCGATTCTAAAGTATTTTGGTGCCCTTCGGGATTAAACATAGGTGACGTTTCCAGGTAATCATTCTAAAGGCCGTATTGATTTATATTCTCCTCTCTGTTTAGATTTTGTTCTTTGCAACCTGTTTTGAAGGCAAAAGGAATAACGGAGGAGTCTCTGAATATAAGGTAATGAGCCAGAATCGTTCCCAATATTTGCCTGCCATATATTTAATTATCGGAATAAATTACACTCTAACAAAGGGCTCTAGAAATCAACATTTTGTGCTCCCTTTAAAACCTATTTTGAGAGTTCAAAGGCATCCCCAAAATCTCCCGAAAATGTTCAGCTGTAAAATACCTTCCTCGCAATGGTATGTGGGATGCATTACGTGTCTGCTGCCCATCGTTAATTCGTAAGGATTATCTTTGTAATAGGAGTTTCTTGGTAAACTCTTAGGCTACGTCTACACGGCAGAGAGTATGCTAATGAAGCGCTCACTAGCATTTGTCATGTCTAATTTGCATATCTCTGCCGGTGCTTTTTGCGCAAGAGGTTTTTGCACAAAAACAAGCAGTGGAGACAGGGCTGTTCCATGCAAAACCCCCTTTTGCGCAAGATCTCTTATGCCTCAAAAAAGGAGGTATACAGGAACTTGTGCAAAAGGGGATTTTTGCTCAAAACGCACCCGTCTCCACTGCTTGTTTTTGCACAAAAACCTCTTGCGCAAGAAGCATCGGCAGAGATACGCGAATGACAACGCGACAAATGCTAATGAGCGCTTCATTAGCATACTCTCTGCCGACAGATACCTGCAGCGTGGACGGTTCGCATGGGGACGAACAGGGAGCAGACAGCTGCCGACGTGAGGTTAGAGAGTTAATTCCATAACGCGGCCGCCTAGTGGCCCCTGTAGTGGGCGGTCGGAGCAGACGGTGACGGACGTGCCCCGTGATGTAATAGACACAGCTTTAAGAGCATCGCTGGTGATCCCAGGGTGCTGCCCCTTGACCGAGGGGGCTTGTGCTTGGCGACTACTCGGTGCTGGTCCCGGATCCTTGCCTAGCCAGAAATCCCCTGGAGGTGCCTGGGAAATGCAGCCTTTGGTTCCGGCTTAACGGCTTCTGCATCCCTGGGGGACCCTGGCGTGGGGTGGCAGCTCCTTTGGGTTTGGATAAGCCCCCAGAGGTGTGGAAGGAAGCCGTGTGGCGGGAAAGCGGGGCAGGTGCAATGTGCGTGGCAGCTATTCCGCTCCCTGGTGCGTGGATACAGCACACAGCCCACGGGACCTACTTGTGTGTCTGAGCCGGGGTGGGATATCATTTTTGCCCAGGGGCCACTTCAAAAAATTTTTGAAGTAGCTGCGAGCCACCCCGGAAGGGGCGGGGCCTAAACAGGGAGGGGGCGGGGCCTAAACAGGAAGGGACAGGGCCTAAACAGGAAGAGGCGGGGCTACCTACCCCCAAACCATGATTGGTCTGGGGGTGGGGAACCCCTTTTGCCCCCCTTTCCCACTAGGCACCCATACCCTGGAGAGGTTTGGCATGCGCTCCGCTCCCCGGCCAATCAGGGCCTGGGGACGGGGGAGTACATGACGCCTCCTCTGCCCTGCAAGGAACACGTGACTCTTTGAAGTGCCGCGGGCTCCTTGCGGGGCCGGGGCAGGGCGAAGGAAGCTTCATGCAGCTACCCCGTCCCCAGGCCCTGATTGGCTTTGGGGCGGGGGAGCGCGCGAAGCCCCCTCCGCTCTCCACCCTGCCCCGCGAGCGCACACGGCGCTTCAAAGCTCCACGTGCTCCTGGCAAGGCAGGAGGCGGCTTCGTGCCCTCCCCCGCCCCTGGGCCCTAATTGGCCTGGGGGCGGGAGAGCAGCAGGGCCCCCACGGGCCGGATCCACCCTCTTGGTGGGCCGGATCCAGCCCCTGGAGGCCCTTTTGCCCACCCCTCTGAGCAAGATGCCAGAGTCCTGTATCTCTTTATGCGGTGTGGTTCACACCGAAATTACTGCTGGTCATGTCATGTCCTGGTTAGTGTCTGGCTCACTGCTGACCTCTGCTGGACGGAACTGAAACTGTGTCCTAGGCCCTGTACTGCTAACAGCTAATGAAGATTCTCCTTGAAATGCTGCCATTGAGGCCACAGAGGGGTGTGGGGTTTCTCTCTGCTGGGCCCATGTGTGTTCATGAGGCAGCATTTCCACAGCCCAGTTCTCAGGAAGGTCCAAAAGGCAGTTTTGGGCTCCTCTGTGGTCCCTCGGAAGGAAGATCAGGGACGCCCGCTCTGCTTTCTCCTCAGCCCTGCAAGGTCCCTCCCCCTAGGAGACAGATGGAGGGGGGCTGCAAGGAACCCGAGCGGGTCTTCCAGGGAGGAACAAGGCAGATTTCTCCGTGCACAACGACCTGGTACAAAACGGGCAGATACGGAAGCAGACCCTGGAGATCAGTCCTGCCCAGTACGTCCAGGGCCACGAAGGAAACGCCGAGAGGACGGCGGGCAGGTGGCGGTAGGTGGCGGTAGGCGTTTCCAGGCCCTGGTGAGCGGGGGGCAGAAAGCGGACAGGAGCCCTGTGTCACTTGGAGGTTCCAGAGGATTTCAAAGCAGATGGGACAGGAGCCAGGATCTGGCCCATGGTGACACCCACTAAATAAAAGCCAAGAACCAAGAGCGGCCTTTCACCTTTATTTTTCTGCCCTTCTATCGCGTTGGGCCCATTCGCTACAAGTCCTCTCCAGCTAACGCTAATGAGGAGAACCGCCGTGAGGGCAGAGCTGTTGGTCGGTGTGGACTGGAGAACTCCGGGTGCCGCCGCCACCTTCGCGTGACCCTCCTCACCGCCACTCCGCCTGGTTCTCCTTCGCCGTGGAGTTGGGCGTCATGAGGGCGGAGAAGTTGGGCTTCCTCATGGAGGCGGGCACCGCGTTCTTCAGCTTGTTCAGCTTGTCTCTCTCCTCCTGGCACTTCTTCAGACAGGGGCTGCACAGGTCTTTCTCGTCCACCAAGTACAGGGCCTCCAGGCGCTTGATGCTGTCGAGGAACAGCTCCTCCTCCGTCGGCTGGAGGAAGGGGTTCCTCTTGGCGTTCAGTTTCTTGAGTTTGGGGAGCTTGGCCACGCTGTTGGGGATGGCCGTCAGGTAGTTGTCAAAGACGCCCACCTCCTGGAGCTCCTTCAGGGACCCCAGGGTGGTGGGGAGCTGGTCGATCTGGTTCAAGCCGAGGTTGAGCGTGCGCAGGTTTTTCAGCTGGCTCAGCTCATCTGGCAGGGTCCTGGTGGTGAGCTTGTTGTTGCAGATGTTGAGGTAGAAGAGGTTCTGGAGCATGCCGATGGTCTCCGGCAGCTTCTCGATCTGGTTGCTGTGCAAGTCCAGCCAGCGCAGGTTTTGGAACTTCTCGATGAAGTCTGGGATTTTCTTGATCATGTTCCGGCTCAGGTCCAACTCGTCCACGTCGGCCAGCTTGAGGATGCACTTGGGGAAGGTGGTGATGCCCATCTTGCTCAGGTCGAGGCGGCGTTTCCCGTCAAACGTGATCTTGATGGAGTTTTTGGCAACTTTCAAGGTGACCTTTTTCCCTTTGGGGCCTTTTGCTTTCCCCTTGCCCATCGTGCCGCGGGGGAGAGAGCTGCGGCGGGCTCGGGCGGCGAGGAGCAATCAGATGGAGGCGCCCGAGTGAAATCTTCTGAGTTGCTGGCTGCTCAGCCCTGGCTGGGAACAAAAAGCGACCTCGTTAGGAGGTGACACACGACCACTGGCCGCTTTAAAGTCACCACAATCCCCTAGGGGCGGGAGCTCTCCACCCGAAAGGCCTCGTTCTCAGGAGTGTCGCACGTCGGTGTGGGGGCATGGCCACTGCGAGCAAGGAGGGGGGTCCCAGTGCAGAGGAAGTTTTGAACCACTGCTCTGGTGCCTCAGGCTGAGTAATGGAGTGTGAGGACCACAGAGTCTTTCACCATTAGAGTGGTGGCGTCTATCCAGACTGTACGATGGAGGATTCCCTGCCATTGGCTGCATGGAAGGGCTTGTGGGTCTCGGTCCAGCCCCCAAGATCGGACGTTTTGGACACTCACTGGCCACACCCTTTAGAGGGCAGAGGGCCCAGGAGCGGACTGACAATCCAAATAGGCCTGGGAACGGCCCTCCCCATGACGTCACCCCTGCGTGCCCCTAGAGCCCCGCCCCCTTTCTTTGCGTCACGCCCGGCACGCTGCACAAGCGACGGGTCAGGCTCCGTGCGCCGCATACAGCGCCGACGCAGAGCCGCTCGGCATGCGGGGCAACGGTGGCCCGTCACGGGTGGATACGACGGCCCACCAGGAAATTCCCGGGATCCCGCCGGGCCAGCTGGCCCCGGGGCCCCGTTTGGCAAAGCACTTCTGTGCTTTCAGCACGTGCTCAAGCATTTTGTTGATTGGGGCCTTCCATCGTTGTCAAAGTAAACAACAGCAGTCAGACTGGGCGCTGGTTTGTACGCCTGTGCGTTTCCATTGGCTTGAACACGGCTGCAGACAATGTCAGTCTTAGCACAGTTTCATGTCGTGCTTTGCAATGGAATTGTTACCGTGGGACCAGAGAAGAGACTTTTAAAGGAAAGAAGGTCTGTGTTCCTTAATCACCGCCGGGGGCCGCCCTCCCTGCACGCTAGGGAAGACCGTGCCCAATGAAGATGCTGCAGACAGAGCATTGGGAAGGGTGTCCTGGCAGTTTAAAACGCTTCGAGATCAGCCGAGAGGCGATGCTACAGGAGGCCAAGGCTATAAAACTCTTACTACCTGGCCCGATGCCGGTTGGAGTCAATGCAAGCCTTCGGCTGTACCTATTGTGGCGCTTGCAACCAGATTTTCAGAAGACCCCAGACACCATGGGGATGGTGGGCGGGGTAACACCCTGCGGGAGAACAGCCAACCTGCCTCCGATGCGTGGAATGCTTCTGAAAATCCTGCCCGTAAGAAAGGACGGGGCTTTGCTGAATGGAGTCCTGGTCTCAGGGGTGTCACTAGTAGGGGGAAAACAACACGGACAATAAGGGAACACCACTGATCACCACCGACAGCCCCCAGTTTAAACCCCTCGGTGACAATCTACACCCTGTCCTGGAAAACAATCGCTCCGTCTCACAGGCCTTGGGAGACAGGCCGGTCCTTGCCTACAGACAGCCTCAAGCACATTCCTTCCTGCACCGCACCTCAGAACCTGCCCCTGCAATAAACCCCTTGCCAGCTCTGTCCACACAGCTGCACAAGCAACACCATCCCAGGCCCGAGCCACGTCCGCCACCACCTCAGGGGTCGTACAACCGCACATCCACCAGAGTGAGATGCCAGCTAGTGCCAGCCGGGCCCCTTGGCCCTGGGTAGGGGCCACACCGCACAGTCTCTGTGCCAAAGGTGGGATGGACGCAAACAGACGTCAGGAATGGGAACACACACAAACCCGCAGGGGACGTTTTAACCTGCCTGGGCGCGCACTCCTGGATTTACAAGTAGCCCCTCTGCTCCCAAGGAAATTCACCAGCCAGTTACAGAGAGGCTACGTCTAGACTGGCATGATTTTCCGCAAATGCTTTTAACGGAAAAGTTTTCCGTTAAAAGCATTTTTGGAACAGAGCGTCTAGATTGGCACAGACGCTTTTCCGCAAAAAAGCCCCGATCACCATTTTGCTGGGCAGACGCGCTCTTTGTTATTTCAGAATAGCGTCACTTCTTCCGGACTAACGCTGCTGTGTAGACGTACCCTAAAGTGCCACAGGGCTACTCGTTGTTTTGCTAGATGGGGAGGTCGTCAAAGGTAACGGACAATCCGTGTGCACAGGGCAGGCAGTAAGATACTTCTGGCAGGCGAGTGACAGCGCCAGCAGCGACTGGGGTGCTCTGAGGAGCCCAGGTTACAGCTGGCTAATCCCCAGCTGATCGGGGGGCCCTGCATTTAATTGGAAAGCGTCCAATCACGGCGTTGATGAATGATTGTTTGGGAAGCAATATGGATTTGTCTGCAACACGCTTCTCCATTAGAAAGGCTTCGTTACAAGCCCTTCAGGCTTTTTGGCTACTCATTAATCATGTGCAAGTACATCTCGGGGAGCTCAGAGTGGAGCGGAGATGGCATCGGCTCCTTTCCGTTACATGCCAGAGCCCCAGACAAGGAGAAGGCAGGGGATCCCTGCCAGTCCCCCGCCCCACCAGGCCTTTTGCAGTCAGAGCGTCTCAGGGAAGTTCGGGAACCAGCGCTGGGTTTCCATCCTGCTGAGAGCTGAGTGGGTCCTGCCACCTCGGAAGCAATAGTCTGGGTTCTGAGCTTTCGCCCGCTTGGATTTTTAATATTGTTCGATAGATGTCAGCGCCTTTATCTGTCTAGCCCCATAGACACCCATCACTCCACCCAGCTGTTGGACCACGGTAGTCTTTACTGCCTGGATCCTCACCCACCCCTGTGAGCTAATATAGGTTGGTCTCCCCACTGCACAAAGGGGGAACTGAGGCACAGAGAGACTAAGGCACATGCCCAAGGCCACACAGGAAGTCGGTGGCGGGGCTGGGACTTACACTCTGGCCTCCCACGTCCCAGCAATAGTGTCCGCATTGGTGTGATCCCAGGGGGAGGTGGGGGAGTCACTCTCCAAGGGATACAAGAGGGGCCGTGAGCTGTGTCCATCCCTAGCGACGCCCCACTGGCTGCAGGGGATGAACTTTGGCCTCGTCCTTCCCGGTGTGACTCTCAACACCTCCCAGTCCAAGCTCTGGGGCTGAGTTGCATTGTCTTGGGGAGCGGCTCACAAGGGGGTAACCAGGACGGCGGGATGCTCTGGGGGGGGCCCTACGTGTCCCCCCCCAATCCTCCCCTCAAGAGAGAGGACTTGCAGGGCCCACAGAGAAGGCAGGGACGGTGGCTTCCCAGCCCAGCTGACCCTTGGGGGCTGTAGGGAAGGGGGTCCCTAGAACCCCAGGGCTGGCAGAGACCTCAAGAGGTCAACAAGTCCAAGCCCCTGCCAGAGCAGGACCGACCCCCACAAGATCCTGCCCGGTGGGACTAATGCCTGGGTGCTCTTGGCCTCTCCCCAGCAAAGGGGCCCATTCTACCCCGGTCTTGGTCAGGGCTGCTGGTTGAGTAGCGCACGGTGAGGGGCGCTAGCCAGGCCACGGAGAGCTAGAGGGCAGCAGGGGGTTGGGCTGTTACTTGACTCATGGATCCAGTGTAACCCTTCTCGGCACCCCCGGCTGTGCCACGTCAGCGCTGGACGTTTAAGCCTCTATTGCTCAAGCTAATGAACCAGCTGATCTCGTTGGGGCCGGTGACATACCTGGGGCACATGGCTGGAGCTAGGTAGATAACCATGGGGATACTAGGGATGACATGGGAGAACCATTCCCACGGTTAACAGATAAGCCTGGGCTCGTCGGTTACCGTGACCGGTTACCCGCAGGCTCCCGCCCCGCTCCTGGGGAGCTGGCTGCCCCCCCTTCTAGCAGAGCTTGCATGTGGTGGTAGCCGGCTCCCTGGGAGCGGGGAGGGAGGCGGGACCCAGCTTAAAACCTAACTCCCGGCATACACCGGCTCCCAGGGAGCCAGCTGCTGCCCCCGCAGCATGTAACTCCTGAGATTTTCAGCGGTTACACGGTTAACCAGTGAGCCCAAGGACATAAGAACATAAGAACGGCCGTTCTGGGTCAGACCAAAGGTCCATCTAGCCCAGTATCCTGTCTGCCAACAGTGGCCAGCACCAGGTGCCCCAGAGAGGGTGGACCGAAGACAATGATCAAGCGATTTGTCTCCTGCCATCCCTCTCCAGCCTCTGACAGACAGAGGCCAAGGACACCATTTTATCCCCTGGCTAATCGCCTTTTATGGACCTAACCTCCATGAAATTATCTAGCGTCTCTTTAAACTCTGTTATAGTCCTAACCTTCACAGCCTCCTCTGGCAAGGAGTTCCACAGGTTGACCACACGCTGTGTGAAGAACTTCACACAGGGACAAACCCTTCCCATCGGTGGAGTCTTGCCACACACAGATCAGCAGCTGAGCTACCCATCCTCTACCAATCTGGTGGCTCCGAGTTGCTCGTTATATTTGCTTTGTGCTCAGACACTGCTCGGGCCTACACACTGGCTTGAGGTTGGTATGTGACCAAATGCCGAACCAGGTGCCATTCGAGTTTTTCATTACTCCCTTCGCGCACTAGCCAATCCTGCGCTTTGCGCATTGCAAATCAGGTTCATTTGCCTGCTTAGGAGCCTGTCACTGTTTCTTTGTGGTCTGCTAAAACTTGAGAGGAAAGAGAGATTCGTTCACTGACGCTTAAACACGGCTTCTACTAACGGGCTGGCTTAGATTAAATGGGTCCTGTCAACCAGCAGGAACTGCGGCTCCCTTTAAATTCCCGTAACTTCCCAGGCTGTGTCCGATCGACCTGCAGCGTGCACACTTGCAAACTGCCGCTCTCCTCCCCGGCCCCCCAAAAGTAAAGACTTTCCTTTCCACGAGCCTGGATAGGGCAGTCTGAGATCTTACCAGCTCACGCCCAGGACACATCTATTCCAGACGCGGACACGTCGCAAGCTGCCTGTTTGGTCTGTGCCGCAGAATCTGAGCTTCCATGGTCAGTCCGTCTGCAATCGTTTTCTGGCTAGTCTTCTCTGCATAATGAATTGGTCCTTTCCCGGGTGTGTAACTAAATCCCCAGGCTGCAGGGGAGACCTGGGCAGCTCTGCTTTTCACAGGCTTGTCAATTCTAAAGTCCAACTTCCCCCCCTCCCCTTTTTTTTTTAATGGCAACCTTTCAAGAAATGGTTGTTTGTGTGCGGGAAGAAGGGAGGGTGTTTCGAAGGACTTACCCAGCTACAGTGTCACTCTATTCAGCTCTCCTTCCACAGCCTGCGAAACTTTCGTTCCTAAGCAACCGGAATCCCAGGTCCTTGGCGATCATTAGCATAATGTTTGGTTCCAACTTGCAGGTTCAGACGGGAGCCGGAGAGGACTCAGCAGCATGCAAGGCCTGGAAAAGTCAGGGTGGAGTTTATGCCGAGAGAAGGGGACCGTGGCAACCGGGTTAGGGGAGGAGAAGGGGACGGAGCTGGTTGCTTTCGCTGTGGGTTTAAATGATTTGGACTCTGCTGTCGTGCAGGTGGGAGATGCCTGAGCACATGAATTCACCTTCATTCTTTTGTTCGGCCTGGGGTAACGAGCTTGTGTTTTTTGTGGCCGGCTTGATGGCTTCAAAAACGAACCAATCACTTAACGAGGGAAGAGAAATAGCTCTGATTTCCACATGTGGTGCAAGGGGCTGCCAGAGATTCTCTCTGTCACATGAGGGCTGTGTCTAGACTGCCAAGTTTATCCGCAAAATCATCTGATTTTGCAGAAAAACTTGCCAGCTGTCTACACTGGCCGCTTGAATTTCCGGAAAAGCACTGACGATCTCCTGTAAAATCATCAGTGCTTTTCCGGAAATACTATGCAGCTCCCGTTCAGGCAAAAGTCTTTTTCCGAAAGACTTTTGCACAACAGGGCCAGTGTAGACAGCACAGTACTGTTTTCCACAAAAAAGCCCCAATCGCGAAAATGGCAATCGGGGCTTTTTTGTAGAAAAGCGCGTCTAGATTGGTCACGGACGCTTTTCCGCAAAAAGTGTGTGACGTAGTGGGGGTGCCTGGCTGGTTTCTATGCGGCTGGCTCTGGGGGACCCCCCACTGGCTGCCGTGGGTACCACGACCCAGCAAAACAGGATGAGTCACTATGCAAACCAGTGGCCAGACACCCCCCATGGAGAGGAACAAAGGAAGGTGGAATGCTGCCTTGGCTGGGGGGCAGGGCTGGAAG